TGATAACTTAGGGGCTGAGTACCCTAGCCCAAAAAAGATTAACCTTTCAATTATGGTAGGCTTATACAAGCCCAAAAAGGTTAAAGGTTGCCCTACTCAGCTACTAAGATAAGGATTATGCCACAATTCCCATAGTTTAGGGTCCTTAAGGTAATGCAGGATTTATTATCATCAACAGTATTGCAAGGAAGGAGCGGCGCTACTTAGACCTTCATTCATGGTAACTATGAATGAAGGTCATAGTAGAACCCCTCTAACCTCTTCCCCAGGAACCCAAGGAAATAACAGAATATGATCAAGCAAACGAGACCGCGATAAGCTTTTGGGTCTGGGAGAGCAGAGAAAAAACTGAAAATGTTCCCCCTCCCCTCAAACCCGCACAACTCTTCTAGAACCCAGAAAACTCTACAAGAACCCCCTTCGTCATGACAAGGCCCCCTATATTCAACCCCATACGAAATCCTTTAAACGCCTTTCCAAAACCTAGTAAAGCGGCCTTAACAATTAGAATAAAGTCTTGGGGTACATTATACCTATAGTTCTAGTATAAGGAACCCCCAAAATAGTATGGGTTATGATTTAGGCCCCTGTAGTAGTCTACTTTTTAGGCCAACCCGGATCAGACAAGTGGCAGCTTGTCTCGCACCAGACTCCCATCGCCGCCGTAGTCCTCGCGGGCACGACGGGAACCACCCAGCAAGTGGGTGGTTCTCTAAATCAGGGTCCCCTTCAGGCTCCCTTTTCGAAGGGTGTCGTGCTATTTTGGTGACCTAAAAAGGGACTCCAATCTAGAGAGCTACGCAAGTAGGTGAGACGGGGGGTTGCACGTGTAGCAATCCCCAATTTAGGCGCTTTTTGTACCTAACACCAACTACATAAGTCCTGTGATCTTTCAATGACGCTTGAGGGTTTAGGGTTTAGGATTTAGGGTTTAGGGTTTAGGGTTCAGGGTCTAGGGTTTAGGGTTTAGGGTTTCGGGTTTCGGATTTCGGGTTTAGGGTGAGGGTCAAGGGGTGTCGGACAGGTCTCTCAGGGCTGAGATCCTACAAACAAACCCCGTGCACACAGCCCTAACGGTCATGAGAGACCTCATCGCCAAACCCACATCTAGTGGATCTTCGGTCCAATGGGATGCTTCCATGACTCTTATTCGTCTTCTTATTCTTACTATTAACCACTATTAGCATTATTATTACTAATTATGATGATGATTATTTTTTAGTACTGTTACAATATTTCATACTATGATTTCTGAATTTCTATTTTTACAACTTGTAATTTACCCTGAATTCCAACCCCCAACCCTCCCCAAATGGATCCGGCAGCCCGCGCATCTTCACGGAGCCGTCGACAAGAACCGTGGCAACGGCACCTGCGCGTCTCCGGCAAGCTATGGTTCAGCGGTTTAGAGTTGTTTAGGGCCCCTAGACCCTAAACCCCTAAACCCCTAAACCCCTGAAGCCCTAAACTCTAAAGTTTAGGGCCTATGTTGGCTTAGGGGCTTGGAGTTGAGGACTCAATCAATAAATAAGTGGGCCCAGGGCTGGAGGCTTGCATGCTTCATGAACGAGAGCTGTGCGTCGATTAGAGACGAAGTTCTGCACAAGACAACCGCACTTTGGGCGCCATGCACGAACTCCCTTTGGCCTTTAACTTTAACCCTAAACCAGTACAGCCCAAACCGGAAAACCCCACACGAACATCCCTTCCTCCAAAGAGTGAGTGTGCTGGAGTTGCTTGGCGGCTCGAGAGCCCTGAAAATGCCTTCAACAGGGTTTGGGGTTTAGGGTTTAGGGTCACATCTCAGCCCAACATCCCGACATAAACTACGTCTGGACCCTAAACCCTCATTTAAGCCACACTGTAGAATGCGCGAAAACTTCCCCTTCTGAAGCCTGTAATGGCATGCTGGAAGCTAGGTGTCTGCAAACGTTATTTCAGCTTCCATGCGTTTGAGGGATTGAGGGCTCCGTGCCCCGGTGCTTGCGGTTGAGGGCTTCGTGGTTTCGGAAATTTCCGTGGTTTCAGCTGTCACTGTTCGAACACGGCAGCAAAAACGCTTCCAGGAACAGAAGCAAGTCAAAGATGATCTTTGCATCCGTCCTTGAACCTATCATGTCTGCATTGCGGGCAAGACGGATCGATCTGGTTGTGGCCGTAGTCGCTGGTATTTCGGTAGCAATTCTTCCACTTATCTGGAATGTCGATCGTGAGGCTGCCGCATTCGCGCACCAGGTAGCTCTCGCAAAACATATCATCGGGATGAGGCATCAGGGGAGCGCACTCGGTTGGCAAGTCGCCCTTGGCGCTGCCATAAACTTTCAAAGACTGCGTGGACTTCGGCTGGGTGGAAAGCCGGCTACCTCGACACCCGCGCGGCGACAGAGACTTCCGCCCGTCCGGCTGCTTGGGGCATGAATCTTCAGGTCCTGGCATACCCTGCTTTTCTCGGAAGTCCCAGTAGAAGCTATCCTCCGAGCTTGGTAGAAACTCTGTGAACTCGCCGGTGTGAGGCAGGAAGCAACAGCAGACACCCCAGGCCTTCATCTCGACCGTCCTAACTGCGTTCGCGGCCACCGGGAAGAGTAGGACATGGAGCAGACGACGCATGGATAAAAGCAGGATCCGCTAAATTTCACACTCTACGTCTACGTCTGAGAGCCAGGCACGGAAACTTCTGGATCAAAGGCTGTAGGGTAACGATAAGCCCTCAGCGCCCCTAAAGCCTATCAACTTCGAACATCGGTGGGCTTCGGGCTTTCGTGTGGATCTTGGAACATCAAATCTGGCAGCGATCCTCTGCCTTCTGCGCCTGCCCTCTGCGGGATTTGTCCTGGGCTCCTCTTTGGAACGGTTCAGGTTTAGGTTGGGTTTAGGGGGAAATTCCTACCATTCAGGGCGGGCGCTCCCTCTGGACCCCAGAGACTCCAATATCCCTTAATTACGGAATATACCTTAAATCATATTAGGGTTCCTATTATAGTTTTTAAGGTTTGTTCCTTAATTAAGGGATATTGGAGTCTCTGGGGTTTTTTGGTAAGGCCGAGGCAAGCAAAAGGTGAGAACGACCTCATGTGAATCGCTTTGAAGCTCCTCACCAGCGGCTGAAAACTTTGCCCCACATCTTGCGCAAGAACGAGGCACAGCCTCAACAGCAAACCACAAGTAGCATTCATCACAAGTCTGCACACTCGATGTGAAGTTTGACACACATACCGTACTCACCGACCACCGTTCGACAATACACGATCAGCATCATCGTCACAAAAGCAGTGTATCTTCTAGTAAAAAGAAGCAAAGCTGTGGCATCAATCCTCCAATCCTCATCCATAAACCTTTCGACGAAAGCCTAAACCTACCCCTTAAATCCCAGAACCCCCGAACTCCCTCCAGCACGCCGCAACCACCCACAATTAAGGCAGTAAGGGCTGCGCTGTACTGTACTACTATTACTATATACTATACACTATATACTATACACTTTATATCCGGTCTACGATGTACTACGATGTACTATATACTAGACACTATGTACTGCTTAATACTACATCTCCAATCTACGATCTGCGATATACTACGATGTACTACATACTAAACACGACTATCTACTGTCTACTATATACGATATACCATTTATTCTCTATATGCGTGTATATATATATATATATATACGCACACTATATACCATATACCCTATACCTTTTTTACCCTGCTGCACGAAGACGTAGGGGCTTCGTACGTTCGGATCGTGGGCTCCCTCGGGCCTGAGGGATTGAAGGGGTCCGGGCTCAGAGTGTAAAGTTCAGGGTTTAGAAGCTCAGAGTTTAAAGTTTAGGGCTTAGGATTTAGGTTGAGGGTTTTGTTGGGGTTTAGGGATTTAGAGTTTAGGGTTTAGGGATTTAGAGTTTAGGGTTTAGGGTTTAGGATTTAGGTTGAGGGGTTTTGTTGGGAATTTAGAGTTTAGGATCGCTTGGGACTTGAGGCTTCATGCAGCCCAGGAGATCTTCTTGGGTCTTGAAGGGTCTTCTTCTGAATTTTCCGGGGTCCTAAACCCTAAACCCTAAACCCTGAACCCTAAACCCGAAACCCTAGAACCCTAAACCCCTAAACCCTAAACCCTAAACCCCCCCCCCCTCGCCCGGGCCTTTGCTTGCGACTTGTAGCTCCTGCAGGCAATCCAGATCTGCCTGCGCGACGTAGGTGTGCTGGCCGAAGGCCTCAGGCACAGAGGCATCCCGAAAAACCTGAACCCTAAGCTTGACTCTCGGGAGGATCTTAATCTAAGTGGTTTAGGGGTTTAGGGGTTTAGGGGTTTAGGGGTTTAAGGGCTTAGGGTGAAGTCACCATTGCATAATTTAAGGGCATCTAGATGTAGTCGATAATGCGCGTTCCTTACTTCCCATGAAAAGTTCGGGCTCCAGCGCATGGTGCTCACCAGACAACCTCGGTCCTCTAAACTGTGCGGACAACTTCATCAGAGAAAGGGCTTAGGGTTTGGGAGTTAGGGGCTTTGGGGTTTAGGGGTTTAGGGGTTAGGGGCTTTGGGGTTTAGGGGTTTAGGGGTCTAGGGGTTTAGGGTTTAGGGTTTAGGGGTTGCGGGGTT